CGCCGGTTTCGCTGAGCAAACAAGCCCGACCCCGAGGCCCGGCCGGAGCCCCTCCCTGCCCGGTTGCGTTCCCCCGGGGCCGCCGCCGCACACACAGAGCGGCGTTTGTTTAGCCCGGGAGCGGTGTCCCTGGTTACATAATTCGCCGGATGGCATCAGACTCGGCGTGTTTCTGAATCGCGCAGCGAAAAAGTGCGAGTTCTCTCCAGGCAGCGACTCGCGGCCTCCGCCTTCCCGAGGGTCAGGTGGAGACGCGAGGGGGGTCGTGGGCCTTATCTGGAGTGAGCTTGGGGGACCGGCGCGGGGGCGGCCGAGGCATCTCCAGAAGGCTGGGGAATGGTTGGGGCCGGAATGTGGCATGGGTTAGTTTGCACAGTGGGGGGTCCCAGACCTCTTTCCCCCTCCTCTACGTTCTTTTTCTATCCTCGAGAAATGTGTCCAGAATTTCCGCAGGGAGTAAGGACCAGCGTCGCTCTTTTTATGAATTCCTGGGACTGGGACCACCTGCCCTGAGGCTGGGTAGAGAGCGCGCTCTTTGGGACCAAATCCAGTCCGGAGCGTTCCTGCCCTCCCCTCTGCCCCCACCAGGCCAGTGAAGAGCAAGTGCTGGGCATCGAACATACTCAGGCCCTGAGTCTGGTGGGCAGCCAGCTGCGGGGCCTCGGTGTTCTCCATACCCCCAGTTTGGTAACGTTAGTCAGCAGGTCACTTATTCCTGGGGTTCACGTTCTGAAGAAGCTTCCCCAACTTGTCAAGGGGTGAAGCAGCTGGGTTGGTGGTGTCGGCCTCTCTCTAATTCTCTTAGTGGAAGGGAGGGAGGGCAGTGTTTGCGCTTTGCATCACTGGCCCTTCTGTAAATAAGCCTGCCCTGAGGAGGGATCTGCCTGCTGGATCCCAGGCCCCCAGAAGGCCCCTGCCTCCCTGCCTCGGTGTTGCCATGATCCCAGCCTCCTGGCTGCATCATTAACCAGGCTGTGTGACCCAGGCAGCAACTCCAGTGCCTCTGCCAGCCGCTTAGCTGTGCTGAGGACTGGAAAATGGAAGCAGCCCTGTTTATAACTCACCCTGACGTCCCAACTCTTCCCAGCCTTGTTCCAGGAAGGGACCCCCAGAGCTAGCCAGAGATGAAGACACCTGAATGTGGAGGGATTGAGGAGAGGCTTCGGTGGTGAGAACAGGGAAGAACAACCTCTGCTTCCCCACTAGGTCCTCCAGCGGCGGGGGAAGTTGCCTTGGGGCTGATGGGGCCACCCCAGGAGTGCGGGAACGCTGGACTGTGAGCCCAGGCGCTGCAGGTTCCATCCAGCTGTTGAAGGGCAGGGCACAGGAGAGAGAGAGCAGAAAGCAAAGCAGCCGGCTTCTTGACAGTGTTGCTAGTGTTGTTTGGATTTTCTTAGAGTTACATTTTTCATTTTTGTGTGTGGTTTGTCCTTCAGATTTAACCCTGAAGGAATCTGAATTCTTGAGCCAGCACTACTGAGTCGCTGCCTCCCTATGTAATTTGACTGCATTCCAGAGAAAGCATACTTTCTTCTGGAAGGCAGCTTAGACACCCAACACCACCCAGCCAGCTTTCAGAGCCCCACATCATTTACTGACAAAACCTGCATCTTAAAACAAAACAAAACAAAAACACGAGGGAGGGGGTTGGGAGTAGGGAGGGCTTAGTTCTTTATGGAGTTTTCCTGCCCCTCCCCCTACAGCTTTCCATCTGCTCGCCCTACCTGCCTACCTTTGGAAAAGGGGGAAGGAGTGTGAGGCAGTTTATTAATAAGTACATTTCTGGAAAGAAACAAAATGCTCCTAGCCTGGGTGGCTTTTCAGTGAAGTCATTTGCCATTGCAAATTTGTGTTTTCTTTTTTAGCATTCTGTTCTCTGAGCTTTAAGGCTGTCTGGGTGTGTGGATGATTCAAAAGTAATTACAGTAGGGGAAGTAGAACAAAGTTGCTGAAAGCATTGATGATAAAAGCACCAAAATTGGATCATCTTCCCAGACAGATGGGCGAAATGGCTTCCTGGTACAGCAAGGACAGGATTGGGTATAACATCAAAAATGAGAAAGAAGAGTTAAAGCAGTTTGGCAAGAATGGCCATTCATTGCAGCCCCATTGCTGGGAGGTTGTGCTGCAGGCTTTGGGGTTCGACAGGAAAGAGCCAAGGAAACAGGGCCCCTCCGTATGAAATCAGAGAGTAGAGGCAGCCTCTTCCCTAGCTCTCAGGGACCCATGAGCCTTTGAGGGACTTGCAGATTTTTTTGTCCATAAGATCTGATGGCCCTTCTTCTCTGGGAAGGGGATGTTGAGGCCTTGGATTCATCTTCTCACGTGTGGAACTGGACAGGGCCTGAGATACTGACTGTCCCCCCAAATTGGGATAGTGGCAAGTTGTTTTTAGCTCTTGAGTTCTACCATTGAAGGGAGAAATTCTGCCTGTACTCAAAAAGTTAAGGCCTCTTCCACTGTACATGTAGCAAAGTCCTTAACTTGCAGAGTTTAGAAATGAATCTGTGGTCTTCCTTCCTTAGCTTGCTGTGTGTGTGTTTGAAGGGGTGCCTACTGGCCGAGCCTGCATAACCTTCAGTGTATGTTGCTAGTGGGCTCCTCTCACCTCTCCTTGTCCAGCCTCAGCCTGTTTGCTCAGATGGCTGCTGGCGCTTGCTCCTTTGGAGTTTCTTCCCCATTTGGGATTGGGGAGTCCAAGCCTATGTGGTGGCTTAAACTGGTGTTTGCTCCCACCCCGAGAACCCCAGGAGAGTGCTGCTAACTCATCAGCAAAGTTTGAAAATGTTGAACATCTGGGACTGGGGGATTGCAGTTACTTGGAGAAATTTCAACTAGACAGTTTAGGATTTGTGGTGAAGAATGCCTCAGGGGATGGCAGAGGTGTTGCTGTTCCTGTCTCTCTCAGCTGTAGAGGTCTTCAACTAAGTGGCAAAGAGGTCTTGTTTCATCCTCTGTGTGGGACCTTCCAGATTCCTTATGGTGGATTTTGTTAAAATAGTAAATTCTGTAGAGTCATTTTCTAGCCAAAGTGAATTGATGTTCCCACTTTTTCCCTGCGAATTAACAGAAGTATTCATAACTCAGCATGGAGCATGGCAAAGACAAAACACCATAAATATGGTAAGACAAACACCTCAAACATGGGCTTGTGTATGCATGTGTACACATACATGTATGCATGCATGCACACACGGCTTCTCTTCCCTTCCTCAGCTTTCTTCCTGCTAACTTTTGGGTGATTTGTGGTATTCTCTTTTATTCCCATCTTAGAAAGTTTGATCCTCCATCAGATAATGTGGGACTAAGATTGGGGGTGGGAGGAGCACTTAAATTACTGTTACTTCAAAGAATTATTCTAGGCCTGGGTTCAAATCTCTGCTTCTTCTGTCCACAATGCAACTTGACAGATAACTTGGTACTCTGAAAGACTTACCTGTAAAACAGAAATACTGATCTCTACCTGTACGATATCTAATGCCTGTATGCAGTAGGTGATTGATAAATGTTGCTATCCTCCTTTTCACACAGCTAGACTAGGGCTCTGTTCTCCCTCCTCCAATCTGCTAAGGACACACATTGTAAACAGCACATGGTCACGTGGTCTTATTGTTAAAGACAGGTGGCCAGGGGTCAGAGGGGACACCAGTGTGGGGGCTTGAGCCTTCTGGAAGGATCAACCTCTGGGGCTTGCAAACCACTTGCTGCACAGACCCTTTCTTTGTGTCACTGTGATTTGGGATGGGATTTTATCTGCACTAATGCAAGGGACATGTGCCTTGGGGCCTTTACCATTCTGCCATGTGCCTGGGCATCTGCGAGAGGGAGTAGGCCAGGGGGCCATGTGCCTCCTGTAACCTAGACAGTGGCTGGACCCCTCAAAAATGGATAAAACAAATACTCCAAGACACCGTGCCCTACGTGCTGTTACTTACTGTTTGGGTTTGCTTTACGAAGTCAGTGAGGTTCAGATTTTCTTTAGGGAATTTTAATAACAGGAAGAAAGAAATGGGTTTTGAAGAGAAATAGATGTTCTTAAGTTATGTCTTTGTTGCTTTGGTTTCAGGGTACAATGTTAAGAGAGCCTACTCCTAGGCCCCAAGCACTGAGGTCTCCTCCTCCCACCCCCAACCCGTTGCAATCGATCATTTTCCCGAATAAAATCTGTTCTTGCTGCTTTTAAAAAAAAAAGTTAAGAAAACACAAAT